GTCATTTAAATTATCATATAATTATATTCTTGTGGAATTTTTTTTTTCTATAATATGCATATTTGTTTCCTTTTTGACAATCTCATGAATGTTTATTTAACTTAATCAGTAGAGTTATTCATCATTTAAGATGCTTTGGAGAATAGTTCATCAAAATATTTTGAAAATTCCAGGGTATATAAATTTTTAGTGAATAAAGCAAAAATTCATGGATGTATCTCTGCAGGAAATATTGGGTTTATAAGAGCATGAAACTACTTGGATTATCGCCTTTCCTTTCTCCTCTATGATACGTTTGATAGGACCAAAATTATTTTTACATATACCAGATACTATCTCGATCGACTACTTGGTTTGATTTCCTTTTATTTGCTTTCATCCGAACAAAAACATCAAAATAGTCAGAGTATCCTCAAAAAGGCATGTTTTTTTTTTCTAGTATTTTCATTGAAGCTTTTTGTATGAAGCCTGACAAAATTCAGCGGTGCATTATCTTTTGAAACAGATAAAAAAATATATACTCTAAACACATTTTAGAGTAAGTAGAAGAAATTTTCGATTCGATCAGATGCACTGTAATTGAGCAACAGAAGCGATTCTTCACTTTTTTTTTCTTGAGAAATCCATTTTTCAAAAACAACGAAATAACGTGTAAATTTCTATTTTTTCCAGTTTTTCGGCTTTTATAATTACATATTATTAGTTCTTGAAATATTCCTAACAGATAGAAGATGCTTCGAAGCGTATATAAAACAAATTTAAAAAAAAAATGAAAAATCTAAAAATTTTGGATTGCGAACAGAAGGAAGATTTCCTTAAGTCTACAGTAAAAAACCAATGATAAAGAATCGCTGCCAGTGATCTCTAACAATCTGTACAGCATTGATTATGACAAGAAAAAAGTACTTTTGAATTAGCGATTATCTGTAATACTACTTCTAAACATGGATTATATCTTTTTCAATCATTGTAAACTTAATAACAAAGAAACAATACTAAGAAAGAAAATTGAAACAGGAAGAAACAGGTTTTGCATAATCCAGTTATGATAACGAAACGCTCTACATTTGAAATCAAAACAGAATCACAATGGCAACGGTATGTTTATATCAAAACGCTTAAAATCAATATGATACATCCAAACGACAAAATATCAGATGTTAACATATATGCAACACTAAGATAATAAACTAGATAGCACTCAAGTTCCACTCGACTGTTAATTGTGGTGCGAAGCTTTGAAAATCAATACTTCATAAAGAACGCATAATTGTTTTTTGCGGTTGATTACGATGTAATTTTCTCCAAAAAAAAGATATTTACGTTTTACTGGAATTAGGACTTTTTTTGACATTACTAAGAGAACTCCATTAATTAATACCAGTTTGTCTCTAATGTAGACTATCGATTGATGATCTCTTTGATTTGTTATTTATCACTAGTTGTATTCATAGATGTCTAATATAAAAGCAAAAAGAATCGCTGCTAACCTTTGTAGTTTTCGCTTCGGTTATCTCGAACTTTAAGAACAAAAACATCATCAAAAGCGTGCTCTTTTTTGGTGATTGTTTCCTGTTAGAAAATGAGACATGCACTTGAAAACCAGACAACGAACGATATCGAATCAACCATGAAATTTTTATATTCACGTTTGAATGACTCTTTTCTAAGTGTCTGTTCTCAAGATCATTGCTGCGGAAAATTACTAATATTGATGCATCCGATGAGAAACTAAAAAAAGAACTCGCTATGCTTCGCATTGTATTCATAAATAATCTTGGGACATCCCTTATTATCAATAATTGAATAAATGTAAAAAAAAATTGACAGTAGCTCAATTCTACATCTGTTGCTATATTTGATGGAAATGTTTCAATGCATTTCTTTTATGTCACGTTTTTGAGTTTCGACTGTTTGACTAGACTTATCAAAATTTAAATTTGTTGTGTATAAACCATTAATGTACTAATAGTTTTATTCTTAACTATATTGATTAATATATAAAACAAAATATAATCGATTGTATTTACGTTTTTTTATTTATTAATTAAGAAAGTTCAAAAGAATTAACAATTCATTTTCATTCAATATTGATGATAAATTTTCAGTAACAGGTTTTAATAAAATTCTTTTTTTTTTTCATAGCTAATATATCAAAATATTTACGTAGGAGTACATTTCTATGCATAAAAAATAATCAAACAGAACTTCATTATATAATCATAACACAACCGTTTGCAAAAATAAGCATTTTTTTTTTAAAGTAATTATTTATTTGATTAACCCTTTGGTGCCGACCATAGTATATATACTACTTCGAGTATTTCTCAAAATTCGGTGATGGTTTATATACCAAATCAATCAAAAGTAAGTGGAAATAGTCTGCATAATTGATTATGCATAATTGATTATTTCAAGGTTTATCATATCCTAAAAACACTTTTGATAATGAGTTTTGATTGAATAAACATTTATTTTCACTTATATAAAAAAAGAAACTTTATCTTTTTTCAAAAAAAAAAAATCCCGGCACCAAAGAGGTAAATGTTGATTTAAATCGATGAAAAATATCATACCAATTGAAAAGTTAATTAGTAAGAATGATATTTATGTTAGTAGAATACATATGTAAATCATAAAACTAGATCAATAATAACTAAGAAACTATGGAAATTTATTTCTTATTAATATATATATATATATATATTTTATATATAAAATACAGACATCAATGAAATGAACAAATATCAATTCAAATAACTAGCCAATCAGTAGTCTAATTAATATGTTCTATGACAGCACGAGTCATATAAGGCTTATATTACAAATTATAAGATCTGTTTTTGTTCTTCGCCAGACTCCAATTAGTTAAGATAGTATCATCTTTCTCTCTTTTTTTTTTCTGTCGCGTACTATAAACTAAACAACCAGAAAATATTTTCTCTTTTGGATAGTGTCTCAAGAAACAGTAACCCATAAGAAAATCTCAGACTATTACACAGTGAGAATTTTAATTTTTTAGTTATCTAGAATAAAGATAAGTAAACATTGAAGATAAATAGATCTAGTTAAAGGGTATATTTGATACATATTTCTTTCTCTAAGTGAATGCTGTAAAATCGATTATATTTCTTCATATTTTACTCTGATGACCTATATATGCTTGAAGATATATTCTTCCAGGAGAGTGCTTATCCTAGCTTCAATAAACATCAGTATCTCTACGCTATTATCAACTGAGAAATGATATATGTCAATTTCCTTTTTCTTTTGTTTTAACCATTGAATCCATTAAGACAAACTAATTTACTATTCGTTAGGTTCTTACTAATATATTTACTTTTTTTTCTGATGAAATTGCTCATCATCTTGGATAATATTATAATGGAATAGGAAAACGTTGTTATGTATTCATATGTTTATATGAGATTTCTTTGTTCTTTCTTCTCTTATTCGTTTACGACCTTGTTGATCGGTGATTTTCTTTATATTATTTACAAGCGATGAATATGTTTATTGGAATAAATAACTATATCTAAAAAGGTCGTTAACAGCAAAGATCTACTATATATGTATTCATGTGTTAGTGAACTATTTTTCTTTTTCTTCTATCGCTCGTTTTTTTTTTTTCGCTGATCCAATTCAGATAAATTTCCATCAAGTGACAAAGTAAACCATACGCATCCATCATTTTATTAATCAATAATGATGATCATACGATTCGTCGTCTGTGTAATTCTATTTCTATACTTATTTATTCAAAATTCTTCAGCTACTTATCTTCGTTGTACATCAAAATGTACTCAAATCACCGTTCCATTTCTCGAACCATTGAAAATATCTAACGAATGTCAAGATAATAATAATCTTATCGATATTTATGATTATTCTACAAGCTGTATAGTCGATTATCGCATTGATTACGACGCTAAAAACATTTATATTAATTTTAAAGCTAGTAATGATACTCATATTTATGATGGATATAATCAATCTGAATTTCTTGTTCAAACAATATGGTTAGGTTTTAATCAAGATTCAGAGCAACCAAATATAACTGATCGTAAATATGGATGTAGTACAGAAAATGATTGTGCACGTCAATTTTATTTTAATACTATTAAACATTTAATTACTAATGGTCAATTACAAATTGATAAAATTAAATCAAAATTATATAGACAATCTTTATTACCAAAAAATATTGCACTTCGTCGTTGTGAAATTAATAATACAACGTATAATAGATCAACAATACGATGTCAAGATGGTTTATGTTATGTAAATAATATGAATGAAAAACAGTATTGTACTTCTGATAAGACTCCAACATTTTTTAGTGAATTTCGATCTTATTTACCGAAGTCAACAGCAAAGGAAATCGAATTAATTGAATATAAATGTAATAAACATTTATGTAATAACAATGAAACGATTGAAATAATTAAAAAACTTCTTCGTGATTATACAAATTGGAATAATATTAATAACAAACAAAATCAAATAGAAGAAAAATCATCATCAACAACATATCAAATAGAAGAAAAATCATCATCAACAATATATCAAATAGAAGAAAAATCATCATCAACAACATGTCAAACTGTATCTAATATTTTAATTATTTTATCTTTAATTAATCTTCGATTTTTATTTTAAAATAAAGATTCTTTTTTTTTTTTTTGCTTAATTTTATTTGTTCCTTTAGATTTTTCATAGAAGATTTTGCCTAAATAAATTATTCTACTATTTTTAATTTCTATTTATTCAATATGAATTGTATATAAAAAATTGATGACTATTATTCTTAATTATTCAATTTTATATCAATTAATGAAAGAAAAAAAAAAGAAAAGATTGTTTTCTTGTTTTTGCAAGAATAAGTTTCAATCAATTTATTTTTAGAAAAGTCTAAATTATGGAATTATTTATCATTTGTCATATATGACAGTGTTATGATATTGATAAGAAAAATTTATCGTTAAACTGATACGATTGATTGATTGTTGCCTCATGTGCAAACAATTGTGCTACACCGTTCATATCATCAATAGAGTCAAAGACAGTGTTTTCCAACTAAAATTAAATATTTACCTCGTACATCTAGATATATTACAGAAAATTTCCTAAAATTTATTGATAGTATATTAGATTGTTATTTAAGAAGAAAAAAAAAGAGATATGATTAGTATGTCTAGAGAATTGTTTTTCCTTCTCAATTATATTTATACTATATTGAAAGTAATAGTTTTGAGATAGTAGCTAGAGGTTATTTATACATATACAATATGTTTGGACATATTTGTTGAGAATTGCCTCAATTTTGTAAACAATTTATTCTATAAATAGAAGGATGAGATTAATATAAAAAAAAAGTAATTAGAATGCAAATATTGCTATTCACATATGTTGATCTAAAAATAGATCATGGTCTTTTCTTTTTTTTTTTTTAATTTTCTTCATAAATCATTTTTAGGGATTTATTGACATAATACGGATGATTAATAAGCTTCTTTCTGCTTATAATATATGGAACGAAACTTTTTGTATTATCTTAGTGTAATATAACCAGATTTTTTGCAAGATAATCAATGGCGTATTCTACAAATCAACAGAGATATAAAGTCTCTATTGATCATACAAGATGTGAAAGTTCGTGATATTTTCTTCTTATTTCTAATAAAAGTTTATGTAAATACTACTTATCCGTTCGAAATAAGAAAAATCACAATTGATGTTCTTCTTCTTCTTCTTTAAAAAATATCTATACAATCATATACTAATGATCAAAATAAATGAAACGTATCTTATGTTTGCATTTATCATTCATGCAAGAAAAGTTAACCTCCTTTATATGAATAATGGATTCGAACAAAAGATTTTGTTCTATTTATTTTTTGCTTCGAAAGATATATTACGCAACTGTTATGTCATTTTAATCAAATAAATATTTAGCAATACACATAAATTTATTTGTTAATATATCATATGATTTGTCTTTTTTTGATAAGAATTAGTTTCTATTGATTATGATACACAATTAATTACAATGAAAACTAGCTGGTTTAAGATGAGCAGCACGAAAAAAATGACTGCCCGATATACGTCGATGACCAGTATCATTTTTAGTAACAGATTTCTGAGAAAAATAACTGAAAAGTGTTTTTGTTGTTGTTGTTTCAACTACTTCAGATTTACGTTTTTTTGTTGGAATTATACTTGTTGTATTCTCATTTTCATGATCATCCCTAAAGAGAAATAAGAAAATAATTATTTAATATAGATCAAAAAAAAACAACTATTTTTACCAAGTTACTTTAATACATTTATTATCAATAATAGTTGATGCTGTTGACCAACTAAAACGTACAAATTTTGGAAAACCAAATATTTTATCCATAGATTCAATTAAAAATTGTTTTGTCTTAGGATCTATTTATATTAAATAATGAACAAAAATAAAATTGAATGTACTTTTTTTTTTACCATTAGGATAACCAGAACCATATTCAATCGATTCTTTTTCATCATCAAATTCATGTATTTGCCAATTTTGAACAATTTGATCACGAACTACTTTAGCACAAATACTTGATGCTGATACAATTGGATAAAGTGAATCAGCTTTTTTTGATACTGTTATTTGAATTTTTGGATAACGAGCACGAATTTTATTTGCATATGTATCTGGACTACCAACAGTATCGACAAAGATCTTTGAAAAAAAGAACAAATGATTTTTCTAGGATGACGACGAATTTTTTTTTCTCTTGTTATTTATACTTTCTTGACATTGACACCTTGATCAAGAACTAATTGTATCAATTCAAGAGCTGCATCTAGAAGATTACAAAAAACAAAAGATATTTAATAAATAGAAGAATTCAATAGATTTACCATGAGACATATCATTTAAATTATATTTATCTCTGAAAAAAAAAAGTCGGAAAACAAAAACTACTTGAATTGAAATAAAAAAATGAATACATACCGTCGTAACATACATGTCGAGATCATATGAGGTGAAAGTACTTTAAGTATAAAACCAAGATAATTTTTATATTGTTCATATTTAGCAAATATTGATGAACGACTTTCTTCTGTTAATTGTTTAGAATCTATTAAAATAAATAAGAAAATATTTTATCAAGAGTTTATTTATTAAAGTAATTTCAGACGATGTATAATTAACGAGTTTTTTTCGTTTTAGGCTTATTTGATAGAGAATTTCTTGCTCCAGAAAAGTACTATCTTTGTTTTTCAAATCATTTTTTCTTTTGTTGATGCAAAAATTAAAAAAAATGAACAACTACTCAATCGTATAATTGCGATTTCCGACTTTCTCCAGGCATCTAGTGAATCTTTGTTCATTAGAAGCAATGCGGAAAGTAAAATATCTAACATTAACAAATAGAGGATTTTACGCCCTCTGCTTTCACGACATTTTCAAGGTTTTTGTTGCTGTTGTTCAGAAGAAAAAGACTTCGAACTTACATCTAGTAGTATTTTGAGATGGATTCTGAAAAACCATGTTTTTCAAAGAGAGACTGAATTTGTGATATGACTGTTCTCATGCCATTTGGTGTAGAATTTAATTTTGAACAAAATAATCTAATGCTTAAATTTTTTACTTCAAAAATTTTCCTCTCATATATATACATCTTCTAAAACCTTGAAACATATATAAAAAGACACAGAATTTTATGGAGAACTTCAGAATATTTAAAATTTCAGAGATAATATTAATTTTTTGTTGGAATTTCTTTTTCTATTAAAATTTGTGAAACTAATCTATTTTTTTCAATTTATCAGTCATTTTATGAATAATTAAGATTAGAAATATCAGCTGATAAACTCGACGACGATGGCTAGAAGTTTTGACGAGTTTTTTTTTTACAAAAGATTTTTTCAGTTTCAAAAAATTTTGACATGGAAAAGGGAGAACATACTTGTAGAGAATGTAATAATAAGAAACAAGGCAAGAACATCCCTAAAAACTAATCTTTCATGTCAAGCATTTTCAAAAAAAAAAAAGATTAGTATCTATTTTTATTTCCTGCTGATAGCTATTTATGAGAACAGTGGCAATAGGACTCGACTTCTAGAGCGTTAATAGCAGGATGACATAGCTTGAGGATTTATACCACTAATTAAAACGAATTGTAAGCCTGCATGAACACTGAATTCTATACGATTGACTGTCTTTGTTAGCGAACTAATTAACAAAACAAAACATGATATTGATGATATGTAAAAAAAAAAATGAGAATTTTTATATAGTTTGAAAATTTGTCTGTTCGTTCTAGTAATCGAAAAGAATTTAAAGAAGAGACACTTTTAAAACTATCATGGCAAATTACCTGCACAACCGAGATCTTTCAAAATTGAAAGTTGATTTTCATCACAGAAAAATGCCGAATAAACCATTGGACCTAATCAAAGAATTAGATAAATATATGAATTAAAAAAATATTTCTATTCAACTGACCAAGAACAGGACCTCGACCGGCTTCATCAATACCAAGAAAAAATGATTTATCAGTATCATTATCATTAGTGGTAGGAATATATGATGAACGTAATATAATATTGGATAGAGAATTTTTTTCAAATTCTGAAATATCCATTATCTAGAAAAATATAAATTTCAATAAGAAAACTAATAATCTATAGTCATTGTTATTTATTATCCCAATTTCAATTTATGTAGAACATTAAAAATCAAATCTTAATTTTTTCTTTATATCTATTAGTTAGTATAATGAGCTTATTAATCCTTTTGCTCTTATTCTGTATTGTTTGTTGATTTTCTTTTTCGATTTTGTAAAACTTTTGGTAACTATATGATAAATATGACATGACAGATTAAGCAATAATAGATGTCTGTTTTATACAATGATAGCACGTATTTTCTTTCTTTACTCAATCTATTTTTATTATATCAGTTATTTCATTAAATCCTTTGATCAAGCGACAGCAATAAGATCCAAATAGAAAAAAAAACCATAGAACAACAGAAAAGAAAAAGATGATGCAACGAACCAGCAATCTTTTTTGTATTTGCACCGGCTCATTTGACATACGTCAAGCGTAATTCTAATATAGAATAGAATTATTCAAGCAATCATTTCACATGTCTCGTTTCTAATATAAAATCATGAAATGAATGTTTTCGAAATGTATGTATGAATGATGATGTATACTTTGGTTAGAACAGAAACAAAAAAACAAACCAATAGGGTAGAGAGCCAAACGCGAAGACCAGATTAAATGATGAACCACTATTCATCTGACATGAATGGATGCATCAAAAATACTGAACATAAAAATATGATTGAGGTATGATGATCAGCAAAAAAAAAAAAAAGAATGAAATGAATGGTCACATGACAAAAAAAAAATAAAAGACTAAAAAATACATGAAATACAAGGATGAAGGAAAAGAATATGGTCACATCACATTTATATACACTTAAACTTAAATTGGAATGATATTCATTAAAGAAATAAAAAATGCGAAAAACTTTTATCTTATTGACGGTGTTTTTGCTTTTTCTTACAAGACAAACAATAACAACAACGACAAATAAATATAAAGGAAAAAATATCGATTGGAATAATAAAATTGCAATAATCTGTTAAAAGATGTGTCTATTGTTTCTTCTAACATTGACATTGATTGCCTTTAGTTTGTTGATCATTAGCGGTAAGTCTTGTAGTTCCTTTATTATATGCACCTGGTTGATTACCGTAAACAGTATTTCCTTGACCAGTACCACTTGAATCATCACTTGCATCAGACATTTTTTCTAAAATAATATCAACCAATCTAAAATGAAACGCATACACATAGAAAGAAAACAGAAGAATATTTTAGAAAATAATTTTTTTTTTTCTTTACCTTTCAAATACAGATTTAACATTGATATTTTCTTTTGCTGATGTTTCAAAAAATTCCAAACCTAAATAATAAAAAGAAAAGAAAATAAATACAATAATAATAATAATAATCATCATATTATTGAAAATCTGTCAATTAAAATAAATATATGAAAGAAAAAAACTTACCGAGTGCATCGGCAAGTTTTTTTCCTTCTTCCAAATGAACAACTCTCTCATTTGCCATATCACATTTATTCCCAATCAATATAACCGGGGTTTTTTCCCATGAATGTGTCTTTATCTGCAGAACCCTTTAAAAACATAACATACAACACAACATATATCAAGCAAGAAAAGCCAAAAAAAAAAGGATTATAAAATAAACAATAATAACAACAATTATATATATATATATATATATCATGTACATTCAATATACAATATTTAACAAATTACCCAATTGATCTGCAAGACGTCTGCCTCGTTCTTGTGTTACAGCTCTATCCTGTTCTAAATCGCATTTATTTCCAACTAGAACAACTTGTGCATTATCCCATGAATACATTTTTATTTGTGTACACCTGAAAATAATCTCAGTATGGTGTGTTTCTTTTTCTACATATAGGGATGAATATATTGAAACTTTTTTTTTTTTTTTTTGCATTTATTTATCTAAAAAAAATATTTTGTCTCTTTTTCTATCTATTTAACTTACCAATCTTGTACAGCATTAAATGACTCTTCATTTGTTATATCATACATTAGAATGAAACCCATTGCACCACGATAATATGCAGCTAAGAGAAGCAAAAAAATCGAATATAGGTTTTTTTCGTTTATTCAAAATAAAATATTGGTTTCTTTTTTACTTGTTATTGTTCGATAACGTTCTTGACCAGCTGTATCCCATATTTGTAATTTAACACGTTTATCATGACGAAATACAGTTTTAACCTTAAAATCAATACCAACTGTACTAACAAAGGCAGATGTATACGAATCATCGGCATATCGAAAAAGCTAAAAATAATATATATTGCATTTCATGAAGAAAAAATACAATTTTATATAAAAAAAGAAAAATAAACAGTAACATACAAATGATGTCTTTCCTACAGATGAATTTCCAATAATAAGTAATTTAAACATATAATCAAAATTCTGATCGGCTGCATCTTTAACTGATCCACCAGCATTATTTTGTGTCATCTAAAAAATAAAATAAAATATAAATAAATAACATAGAAATTTCAAGGACAATCAATCTAATAATTCAGTTAAATGATGATTGTCAACGACGATGACGTCGCTACTTGTATAGTGAGTATTTTCCGTTCCACTTGTGTTTCAATAAAATCTGATTGGATGCGGTTTAGATTTGATGATTTTTAAGATATTAATGCATTTTCCCTAAATTAACTTTCCTTTAAATATTAATGTTATAGAGGTTCAAAAATATTATCTTATTAAAAAGTATAAGAAAATCAATCATGGTAACTGAAAATATAGATAAATAATTACTATATTAATTATTAATCATCAAATCAAAATCACTATTATCTTACCTTTTTTTAAAATAAAATAAAATAAAATAAATATAAATGATGTATATATTTTATCTATTCAGGAAAGAAAGAAGTTATTGTAGGCGATAGCGACAACTAACAAAAATAACGTATTAGGAGGAGGAGAAAGAGGAGGAGGCAAAGTAATTTATTAAGTTGAGGGCACAGCTGGTGTCAAGAAATGTTTGTATCACGGATGATGATAATGTCCCCAGCAATATTATCGATTTTTTCAGCATAAAAAAAATCAGACACATTCCGTTCCATTGATTCGATCTAACATCTGATTTTTTCTAGTCGACAGGAAAGTTTATTCATTAGAATTGATGAGATAATTAGAACCTCAAATAGAAAAAAAAATGTCACATATGTTTAAAGCATCGCCTCTTAATAGATCATCAAAATCATATGTGATGAAAATAATAATGATGATGTTTTTGCTTTTTTCAATTTTATTAATTATTCATTCAAAAATTCTATAGAAGCAAAAGTAAAATTATATGTATATATATATTAAAAAAAAACAGCAGACAATAATGATTAAAAACACAGCACCAAATATTATATATATATATATATATACATATACAAATTAAAATTCAAACCTCATAGAGGTTAAAACATTTATAATTCTGTTGTAAGTGGATGATAAGATTGAGAATGATTTGATGGAAATGTCATTGATGATGATGAACTACGAGGTTTCAATTGAGTTGAATGTGTTGCTTGAACTATTGTTGATGATGCATTATGAACATTTGATTGACTTAATGTTCGTGTTACTATAACGGGAGCTATAAAACCTATTGATACGTCTAAATTGAAATAAACTATCGATTAAAATGATACTTTATAATAATAACATTCAGCAAAGAAACACCAGATATTGATAGACATGAAACAGTAATGGCGATCACCAGTCTTAGGTAGAGCACTACACTGATCTAGAGATGCACGTATAAAGAAAGTTTGTTAGTGCAGTTCCTTTGAGGCTGAAATATCGAACTTACATATGTTCTTTAGCCTCATTAAACTAATACAAAATAGATGAAGTAAAAACAAATCTCTTATAGACTATAGCTCTGTTCGAAGATAATCGATCAATACAGTAAAGATTTATCTTATTTATTTCTGCATTGCGAATAGAAATTTTTTCTATCGGCGCCCTATTGTTTTTTTTTCTTGTTTGTATCATTGCTATTTGCCTCATTTTCGTATTTTGTTTTTCTTAATTTAACATTGTTATCATTATAATCATTGAATTAAATAGTAAATAAGGTTATTGTAAATATTTATGATACATACAACAGCACGTCTTAACACACTATTATATATCTCGATCGACTCACAAAAAACAAATATTGATTATTTTTTAAAGCTATAACTTAATCAAATGACAACTGTGGTAAAATTTACATTTATTTTTTTCTTCGAAAATATATGTGGATTCTACAAAACATAACCTGTGAGAATTAAACCTTTCTGAAATGAGAAAATCGAACTCAAGAATTTTAACAAACTTTTCTATAGATTCGGATTCGCTAACCTCGAAAGCTTGTAGTCTTTTTTTTTTATATAAAATTTAGCTGTTTTCTTTAAATGGTCTTTCTGATCGAAAAAATCGAAGTCAATTCCAGATCACCATAGTTTATCTCATGCATTCACCGTCATTCTATATGTACAAATTTGGGATAGTGCGTCACTGTCACTGGTGAATGGTGGACCAGTGAAGAAGTACATCGTTATATTCTTAGATATTAACCTTTTAACTTTTATTATTAATAACTTACTTTGATTATTTCTATTCTGATTATTGTTTGATATTGTTTCGTTGTGAAAGAAGGTCTCCTAAATAATGAAATAATATCTCTTTATATTTATTTATTTTTTTGTATGTTCACAACAATGCAAACCATGCATTTTCATTCATCTCATGCTAAATCTTACTCACGTTGTTCATTCTCATTAAAAATAAATCTATTACTAGCAGTAAAATAATCTTTACAAGAAGCTATATTTTTTTTTCCTCTATTTGAAATTTTTTTTGATGATATTCCATCAATAACAAGATATGATAAATTATCATAATTAGCACAACGTTGTTCAAATTGTTCTTCTGGATTTGAAAAATTTAAACTTCGACGATGAAAATCAAATTTAGCATAAATTGAATTTGATTCATTCGATGGATTAAGACAATAATTTAATATATTATCATATAATGCACGATTATCATTATATGATGTTAATTCAGATATAGGTAAAGCAAATAGAGGAAATTTATTAAATAAAGATATTTTATTATAACTGCTATTATTAGTTTTATTCGATTGTAAATTATTAGAAGATATTTGCTCCTTTTTTTTTTGTAATAAATAAATTAAAAAAGATAAAAAGTAGTAGAAACAATTTTTTTTAAAAAATAAAAAAAGAATATTTACTTTAACTACATAAGGTATTGATTGACTATTCGCTAATGTATATCGATTGGATGCACTGTTCATTTTGTCAATACGTAATGAATTTGTTTGATGAGATCTATAATAAATTGAATTAAGAAACAAAAAAAATTGAGATTAATTATTTACCCGTTAGTTAGAGATGTTGATATTTTTTGTGGTGATCGTTGAATTAATAATGTTTGATCATTATCAATATGATGATTATTAGAAGTACATTCATTTGATAAATCTGTATCGAAAAAAAGAAAATGGTTTTTTCAAAAACGTCATTAAGTATTTTGAAAAAAAAAATATATATATTGACAAACTTTTTGTTGTATTGACATTATTATTATTATTGATTGAACAGGAATTTACCGGATTGGATTGTTTGTTAAGAACTAATGGTGGTGGTGGTGGTGTTGTTTTATCATCAGATTTTATTTGTCGAGGAGGAATTGGTGGTGCAGGAGAAAGATTTGTTGAATTTATATTGAGTTCACTTTCTATAAATAAAGGTGATTTTTTTTTTGTATGAGATGATGTGTCATAAAACAAATGATAGAAATGAATATGAGAGCAAAATGTTATTTTAGAAGATTTTTATCGTTTTGAACATTTTTAATTGACTAGATTTGATATTATAAATGTTATTTTAAAAGTTTATAGTTCAATTAACATTGAAAACTTGAAATTTAGTTTAAGTAGAACTGAGTATTTTTTCCAGATTTTCTCTTTCTACTTTAAAAATAGTCAACTTAGTGAAATCTTTGATTTTTAATCTAAGAAATTGATTAAGTATTGCATTTTAAAAAATTTTTATTTCTATAAAGATAAATTTGAAATCAAATTGTATAGAGAAATTAATAAAGTAAAAATTTCAAGGAAGAGAATTTCTTGATTTTTACTCTCGATGCAAATATGAAATATGCAATAATTTTAGATCATCATAGTCCAAGAACTAAAGAGAATATATTTAGTCAAGGATTTATGGAACTCTAGCATATTTGTCTGATATCTAAATATGTTAGTTTTTATTAATCAACTCAATAATCGATATTAATGTTTTTATTATTACTCATGGAATCTTTTTACAAGTACTTTTCATTCATATATTAATCTATGTAGCCTATTAGTCGAACACAAGTGGTTTTGATAATATCACTCTCTGTGATTTATAAACATATCTATAGAAATATCGAGGTCATGTTTATTTTCTTTGATATGCAATCGTTTTCTTTACTCAGCATGAATCAATCCTATTGTTGTTCTTTTGTTTATCAGATATTCAAATGTATTATATACAGTATGATCAACAAAGAAAGTTTTTTTATGTCTGCTATTGTTATCAAATTTCATATAAAAAAGTTTGGCATCTAATTTCTTGCAATTAGATGAAGATTATGTTAAATTTTTGTATCTCTAGTCTTACTAATACGGATGATAAAAGACACAAAAACATCCAAATGAAGATATACTAAAAGAGTTTCGTTGAATAATGTCATAAGTTTAATAAGATATTTATAAAATTGTTTTCAATTATGATTATTTATATAAAAACCAATGGACATTATTTATCATTAAGTCTAATTATTAAATATCTATTGCAAACTGTAAGGTAATTAAAGAACAAGTTAAACTAGTATATAATTTGCAAATGTACGCAGAATTGTTTTATTCAATACTGAAATGATTACAATGCTTAATTAATAAACAAGGGTATTCAATCTACGCAGAGACCACTGTAATAACATGAAAATATAAAATATTCAATTGCTTGTGATTATATTTCAAGTGAAAATTAATTAATGTAAACATTACTTAATAAAAAAAAATGTTGATTAAATTTTTTCAACATCGTGTATTATGTAAAAAAATATCTATGGTAACCGATAAACAAAAAGGAAATAACTAATTGAAGAATTTCATCAGATTTGAGAAGAGGAAGTCTAGGTTTGCGAGCAGAAAACTTGATTTTGCATATCTCGAAATAATGAAACATCTTGACTTATTCTTTATATTTTAATATTTATTCTTTACTAAATAAGCAAAAGATTTTTTTCATCTTTACCTTTCAATAATAAATCATTCGGAGATCCTTGAATAAGATTATCAAGACGTTGAGTAGCTGATAAAGTTAAAGTTTTTTGTAATGATGAACGTTTACAAATTGATGTTATATCATTATTTGATATAAATGAATTTGTTTGAGATTTTGATCTATTTAAAAAAACAAATAAATAAGAAATATTAAGAAAAAACAAAATAAATCTAATGAAAATTTACTCTATTAATTTTTTATTTTCATCTAATTTTATTTCTTGTTGAAATTTTAATTTTCTTAAACGTTCATCTTCTTGTTCACGTAAAATTTCTTGTTCTTGAATTTTTTTTCTTATTGCATATGATGCATGACGTGAAAAACGATGAGATGCTTTACGTTCAAAATTCATATTATGATTTGTTAAAGTTCTTAATGCTGCTGTTTGACATTCGGTTCGACCACTTTTAAAAAAGAAACATTTTAGTTTTTTTTTTTTTTTTTATTATTATTCATTTATTTTTTCTTTTTTTTACCTAAATCGAAATCTTGATCCAGTACGAGCAAAATTTGATTTTGCATTTAGTTTAATTTTATTTGCTGATGTTGCACGAAAAAAAACATGATATTCTAAAGCACATTTCCAAAAATGTTTACATTGTTTTTCATCATAACAACGAAATAAAAAAATAAAATCACGTTGTAAACGTGAATCATTATCATCATCTTCAATAACAACGATTGTTAATTTATTACGATTAAAATTAATACGTGTTACTTTTGACCTGAAAAATACATAAAAAAAAAAAAAAAGAATTCGTTATTATATTTTTCGTTTCAGAAAAATGTTTTGTAATATTCACATTATGTTTTTTGGAATAAAAAAAAAATATATAGTGAGTGTAAGTTTTAAATCGAGGTTTTGACGGCTTCTCCCTCATAGGAATAGCAGAGATACACAATGGGCAATTTCTACAGAGCATATAGACACGGCTTATTTTCTGTCAAAACCGCGTTTTTTTTTTTAAATAGAAATATTAAGTTTTAGTATTAGATAAAGAGATTGATGAGCAAAAAGTGAAGTTCGTAAGAGTTTGGATATAAAATCCATGAGAGTGCCTTTACTCTAAACTTTTTGGTGAAAGAATTTTTATTTTGTAAATTAACTAATGATACATTGTTCGATACAGTTTTTTGTGCTAATTCCGAATATGTCCTTATTTTCCTTCTAAAGTACTTCTAAGACAAAACAATGCGGAAAATCTTTAAAATCCAAGGTTTTTTTCACAGAAAACCTGTATGTCAGTCCAGAAACATTTATGAATCTTTATGTTAATTGAATAGATGTATCAGGCAGAGAAAAACATTCTGTGACATTCAGTACTCTATATAAAACCATTCGATTAGGAATTATTTTCTGTGTTCATATAAACTAATTTTGTTGCATATCGAGACTTAGGAAACATCCTATATCCTTGGAAAACAACTATAGTCTGCGGGAGATTTTTCAATTAGTGTATTTTCTATTAGTATATTAAGGCTAAAGAACATCTGTGAGTTTCACATTTTAGCACGGGTTAGACTGTGTTGACAAGGTTTTTTGTTTCCTTACCAAATAAATAAACCAATTTTGATTTTATTTTCAAATACAAGAATACCAGTTGGTGTTAAACCAAGTGTATATTCTAAACCATCTTTACCCATAACTGTATGTAAATCAACGCCATACATTTCTAACCAACGTGCTTTATTTAAAAATTGTATTTCACATTCAGCTGGTGTTAAACTTCTGTTGTAATAAAAGGAAAGTTTTTTTTTTTTATTTTTGAAAATAAAAAACAAAAATGATGCTAAGTTTTTTTTTTTTTTTTACTTATATGTTGGCCATTTTTGTAAAACTTCTCGTTCAAATTCTTCGGTTTGTTTATTATCTGGTAGAAAACGAAATTGTGATATATTTTTAATTGAATGTTCATCACTTGTATAATCTCCTAATTCAGCTAGAAGAGAAAAGAAAAACATTAGTTCTTTAACATTTTGATTAATAAGTATATGTCATTGAGTAAGAAGAACATATATGAAGGGGTGTAACTTATAGTGAGAGGTGGGACATAATGCCCCCTGCTGCCAGTCAGTGTTGAGTTACGCTTCTGAATACATGATTTAAATTCTATGAATTATTCATTTTTAAATTCATTCTATTATTTGAAGATAAGAAATAACATTTGAAATAGCTCGATAGATTTGTTTTACAGTTAAGACTAACTATAATTATAAATTAGAATTAATCTATTTTTGAGTTGTTTTACTCGCTGTATTAAAACTAGCATATGTTTTTTTTTATGTTCTTGACATTTTATAAAATTAATGATCTGGTGAGAAACTTCAAAAATTGATAAATCATTTTTGAATTGAATCATAGATCATTAAGTAGGATTTATGACATTAGATTTTTTTCTTTTTGATTTATGACTATTTTAGTGCATCTTTCAAAAAAAAGAAATTACGATGTATGATGTCTCGCCTCAGATAATTGTCAACATTGTCTTTTGAGTTTAAATTCTAAAAAAAAAAAAATAAAGTTCTCAATGAGATTAGTTCATTACAAAAGTATTTTTGTCCAAAAGTTCCTACCTAATGATATCAGACTTATAAATAAAATTGATTGATTACATTTCAAAATATTTTGTGAAACAAACAGTCATTAATAACTAACACACTTTTTACACTACTAAAATCCTTCAAAAATTCGAATACAATATCTTTAAAACTAATATCAAATAAATCACTCATCAATATAATGAAAAATGAATTATAGTACATTTCTTTCATCATTATGTCATGATCATTAATCAACTCGTTTTGTCAAAACTGTAGATTGACAGTGTAAATAGTTATCTACGTCATCAAATATGAGCGGCATTAGTTTTACTTATGTTTCATCTTTAATTACACTTATGACCTCAACTTGGAATTTCCATTCAGAATTGTATGTAAAAATCTTCGAGTCGAACAAATTTTATCTTCTATTATAGAAAGAATGCGTTTATTGAATATTTTTATTATTGTAAAGAAGAAAAAAAACAAAATATTTGAAATTAATCAAAAAAAAAATCTATTTACCTTGAATAGATAATGCAGCCAATTCAACATCTGTACCAGATGGACAATCTAATTTACCCGTATGAATATCATCTTTAAGTTGAAGTACAAACAAATATCTTTATTAGATGAAAAAAAGAAAACAACAAAAATCAATTATAACAAAAGAATAAATATTCTTTTCTCACCTAGTTAATTCATCATGAAGATTTAATGGATCTGATGTATAAAATTTTACACGAAATCGAAATGTATATGGTGGTCCAACTAGAAGAAAAATAATTTTAACTTGTTATTTTTTTTTTCTTTTCTGTTTCATCTTTTAATTATAATTTCTATTTACTTTTACATTGTTTTTTAATTGATTTAGTTGCATCAAGCCATTGCTAATGAAAAATAAATAATCAACATAGGAAAGAAAAATCTTATATAACCTACTTTAACATTATGTGTATCAATAAATTGAAGACCAAAGTAATCAGATTCAACAAGTTTTGTATGAGCAATTACTTTATCATAAAGACTTTTGCCAAGAGCTTTACGCTAAATAATAAAAAAAAGAAAACTAAATCAATGATCATCGCATATCACATGAGTAAATTAACATAATACAACAGATTAGATAATGTTTTTTTTTTTTTTTTTTTTTTGTTTTAACTGAATATCATCGATACACTTATCATTTGTTTCATTTACATCTTTAATTAGAATGTCTTCTTTTGTTTTTAATCACGAAATTAATTCATTTCTTTGCACGTATAGAAGTCTATTTGATCATCTCATTATTGTATTTCTTTATTTAACATGACAATAGAATACACAAGATTACTTCTAGTGATGCCATGAATGAAAGTATATGCTTAGACTAAATAAATAAAGTTTGATCAATGCTAGATAAACTATAACAGCTGATACATGCTTATACATGCATATGACAATATGTCTGGACAGGTCAATCTGCAATTAGCTAAACCTATTAATCGAAAATTGATGTGATTGTGTTCATAATATACTGAACACTAAAATATCATATCATTACTAAAGAGTTTCATATTAATAACTTACATCTACTTCAAAATTGATATCTTCACCATCGAGAAAAACAACAGTACAAACAAGACCATTTTTAATTGGTATTATTGATTGAGGTTTTTCAATTAAATTAGTTTTTGCATTAAAAAAAAGTTTTGATTTTGAATGATGATTATTATTATTATCATCATTTAATATTGTTGCTTGCTTTTTTGTTTGACGACGACTAAAAAATCGAATAAACCGAGACGTCGCCATAAATAATGTGCCATGTACTAATAGATACGACACACAGACAATAACAATAATAATCTAAAGAAAAACGACGAAACAATGACGAGATCAATGAGTCTAGTAACTGTAGTTCAAAATATTGTTCATCGGTCAATCATACACAAAGAAAAGAAAAAATAAGAAAAAAAAAAGAGACGATTGTATGATGATGGTGGTGTAGTTAAGAGAAAGAAAGGACAGAGAAGAAAAAAAGGTGGGGAGACAGATGCCAAGTTAACGATCTCGAACATATCTTATCAGAAAGAAAAAAAAAAAAAGAGCTCATTGATCGTTGAGTGTCTAAAATGTGTGATTGCTTCTGCTTTTGTTGTAGGTCAGCTCATATACATATACTATATATATATATATATATATATACATATATGTATTCATATATATCCATGGTTTCTTTGTATCCTATTAGAAAGAACAGCACTTCTTATTATGTTATTATGACCTTGTTTAAAATAAACTTCGTCGTCGTGGTCGAAGATTCAATATTAAAGATTGCATCATAGAAACATATACATGCTTATTGTCCTGCTGCGTCTGTATTCAATCAAAAAAAAGGAGAAACTAAAGAGTAAGCGTATAATATAGCTTTCCGTTATATTCTCATAGTAAGCAATCGGAGTTAGAAGAAAAAGAAAAGGAAGAGAACGACAGCTGCCTCTAACAAATATGAATGAACTCCAACGATCAATACATGTGTTTACCTAAGGAGAAAAGATAAAGATATAAACATATATTAACAGATGTAATGAAGAATTTAACAGAATATTCAATAATAAAGGTATTTTGTTAATTTAAAGAATTCGAAAAGAGATAATTGACAAAATGAAGTAATCAATAAAGGCCGATCATATTATTATGATCAATGAAAAGGTTATGATGATACAACATTGTTCTTTTAATAGAGAATAGATAACGAAGAACAGATTTGATCCATTGATTATTATTGAAGAGATAAATAAACATACACGTACGAAATAGACCGGAAGAAAGCAACCATCATTCTTATTTCTTTATATCAATAGTTATTTGAATGATCAAATGAAGCATATAAAAATGTTCAATAACATATCTGGCGACATCATTCAAACAGGCAATCGCTTCTCGAGGATTATTTTTTAGATGCTAATATTTATTTTAACATCAAATAGAAATAATCGAAGGAAACTCATTATTTTCGAATAAAATTTTCTCTTCATATGTAGTTATGTAATGATCAAATGATAAATCTGATAAATCTTGATAAAATCAGTCCCAATATGCCATTCTATATGGTTCATATTGTTCTATATTTTCATAAACGAGATGACGCAAGATGAATGTCACATTTGAACTTTTAATTAAATTCATCAATCAACATTTGTCATATGATAATCGATTACTCTGCAAAAGAACATTTTCAAGCAAAAATGATATGCGCAATTAGGATCAATGATGATATTTACACGTTTCTAAATGAACTTCTCTTATCTATCATAACATATCACATTCATTGATTCAACAAATCAAACTATAAGACTTTTAAAATAATTTAGACTTTGTGTACCTGCATTCCTATTATAAATTTTTTTTTTCAAATCCAAGGATAGATCTAGAAAAAAAAGAGAGTTCTATTAATCTTTTATATCACTTTTTTGAAATGAATTTTAATCAAAGTTTCTTTCATACAAATCAAAGCGATTAGCAAAAAATAGTCCATTGTTATAATGTTAATTGACTACACAATTGCTAGTCGTATTTAAACGAGTAATGATGAATATCAGATACGTCTATGAGAATTATAAAAAAAATAGACTTATTGGTAATGACAGGAAATCAGTTTTATTACTCTATTGAAATGAATAAAATTTTTCCTCATATTAAATTTCATATCTAGCAATTATAATTTCAATATTCTTATTTTTTTATTCAAACACTTACTAATTAAAGAATCATAGTAATCAAGATTTGTATCATAATATATTTGCATCTTGTTTTAATCTATTTAACATGTTGAATAATTTGAATTCATTATCAGATAGCAAAACATGAGGAGAACAATTATTTTAAACTTCTGAGAACTGTTCCAGCACATTCTTTCCAGTTCATCTAAAGTTTATTCAAGATAATCAATAGTATTGTTTTACATGCAATGAAAAAGTAAAATAGAATTTTGTTTTCATTTCTTATCAGTTGAAGTTATAATTTTATATTTTCATGATAATATAAATTCTTTCGATAGTATATTATAATGAAAAATACATCTCACTTATTGTTTTTAACAGACAATTTTTATTCTTTTTTGTATGGTTTTTGTATTCGAAGTAGAAAAAACTTCTTTTCTTCTTTCATACAAGAATTTATGGATCATTTCATTTTTCTTTATTTATTGTACTTCTCATTAAGGCTTATATTTTATTAAAAAGTGAACAACAGGAAAAAAATTATATACGAAGGTCTTCAGTATACAGCTCGTTCACTTTATTATGAAACGATTTCGATTGATTTTTTCTCCGTCAATAACCTATTGAGATCCGATGATTTGCATATGAGCCTACCTCATATACATTGCAGATGTTGTTGTAATATTCTTAGTTTGGATAAACAAGTGTCTGATAATAAAACATCTAATAATATCGAAGAGTACGTCAAATATCTTTTGATGGAATAATATTTCATATTTAGTAAAACAAGAACATTAATTGAAATACGTTTATATGTATCAAAAAAATGCTGAATCATAGCGCCATTTATGTTTAAAAATATGTCTAATTGGTTCACACATTATTTTGTAGGCCATATCGCGTGATCGATATCACATGCTCTGAGCACTAAAATGGTTTCTTTTTCAATGATAGATGAATATCAACGATCAATTAAGTTTTCACGTTCTTTTGCATGATTTATATCAAGGATAATAGGAAAGGTCATAGCAATACTAATACAATATCTTCGTCTATATGTGATATAGTGTGACGAACCAATTGTACGCGTTGTCACATGACATAGACGATAAAGTTTTGGATTTTGATTGTTTTATAAAGCTGATTGAGGCTGTTTTTTAATCTTTTTAGAGACATACCTAATGGTACTTTTTGATATATACAAACGTATTTCAGATAAATATTCTTGTTTTACTAAATATGAATATTATTCCATCAAAAGATATTTGACGTAGCCTTGATATTATTAGATATTTTATTACCAGACATTTGTTTATCCAAATTGAGAACATTATAACAACATCTGCAATGTATGTGAGGTGGACTCATATGAAAATCATCGGATCTCGATAAATCATTGACGGAGAAAAAAATCGATCGAAATCGTTTCACAATAAAGTGAACGATCTGTACATTTGATGAAACATAGCATTGACAAAGAAAAAGAAGCATCATTAACCAAAACAGAGAATAAGAAAAAAAGGAAGTGTCGGAGAGTTTATTCGTTGTTACTGCATTGTAAATTAAATTTAAATACTTGTTCACCTTATTCTTGTGAAATATAACAATATCAAAAAAGATAAAAATAAATAAGGTGTGGGGAACTAAAGAGAGAAAACATCATTACCCCCATCCAACCATTTTTCATATAAATATTAGGGATACAAATTATAGCGATTACAACTGCATTTTTCTAGAAGATGGAGAGGTTTGTTCAATATTTCGGAAAAGAAAATCTCTGTAATTACAAACACATCACAACATAATCTCTAGAAATACTCCAGTTTACTGATTTATAAGAAAGAATTTTTTTGAAACTTTTGGAAATTACTGAAATTTTTATATAGAAATAATAAATTTATCATCGTACTTTTATTAAAAGTAAGGAAGGCGTCTAACCTGAAGTCGCATGAATTTTCAGAAATTACCGTCAGTAATTTACTGGGAAATTCCGAAAATAGCGGCAAATTGACGAAAATTCTTATAGTTTTGGAGCTGATCTTTGCTATTTCTATAGACTAATAACTTAATTTATCCATATCAATGTGACAAAAGTGTTAAAAATTTTGGGTAATTTCTGAAATGTCTTACATGATTTCCTTGAAAAGGCTTTCTTATGAATCACCAATTACAGAAGATTCCTAGAAATAACCCACTCATATGTTAATAATTTCGTTATTCGGAAATGTGAACACTACTAAAAAATCATTAGAAACCTTTTCATCTGGAATATCAGATTTTTCTTACCTATATCTATAGAATTTTACTGAATTGTCATGTGTCTGCAGTGTGAATTCTATCAAGTGTCACTTCTCTTCTGCTCATCTTGGTGTAATATGAACGACCGAATTGCCTCGAAAAACCACCTGAAAGATCGGTCCAGAAACGCGATCTAATCGTACAATTCATCAATATCACATCTTAATGCTTATTTCCAGTTTTTTAAAACTAATTGAGGAATAGCAACTGACGGTTGAAGATGAGGCTTCTTTTCACCTCTAATAGAAAGGTATAGAATATAAGAAAGCAGAGCCACTTCTCTAATATCCTGGATTGTCCTAGAGTAACATGAGATCCAATGATTGAAGTTGTACATCCACAAAATAATGATATTGAGAGGAAGATGAATAATTAGTAGTATTTTAGTTTATATGGAAGGCGCACTAAAACTTCCACTAAAAGGCGACGTTGGTCATCAAGAGTGATTGAGCACCAGTCAAAAACAAGAGAAAGTGTTGTTATAACTTCAGAGAAATAATCGGAGAGTAGCTCAAAGAGTGCGGAGTCTGCATGAATATATAGTTGTATGGACGTCTTTATATCAACACCCACACACTCGCCTTATACACGCAGCTATTCACGCCCACATCTTCGTATATGCATTATTTGTTTTTTCTCGAATGTAAGTAGGAAGTTTTTTTGCTAGAACTATCTGAGGACATTCGTAGAAACAAAAACATGTCGAACACAATATTATCAAAGCGACATGTTTTTCTCTTTCTGTTCTTTGTTTTAATTTTTTTCAACTTACCAGGTGAAAACATGTAATTG